GCAGTGGTGTCCACACCTGGGTCCTAAGTTTCTTCACAGCATCTTCAGCTGCCTCTGACTTCCTTTATATCGGCCTCTCTCCTGCCTCCTCTCTGTCCCCGTTCCCTCCCACCCAAACATTCTCATTTTTCAACCATGCACCTAGATGGCTTTAGGGAGCACAAAGGAACATGGGTGTCGGGACAGCACACCCTAGAAGGACAGAGGGCGGAAAGATCATGATGAGCCCCACAGGCAGGTCTGAGACCCCACACCAAACGTCACGCACCCCCAGTCAAGCGTGGCCCTTGCCAGGCCCAGGAAAAGAGAAGTTCCCCGTGTGGAGCTCTCAGCAGCCCCTACACCACGGTGTTCAAGAAGAGGGAGAAGCCCAACCACCACCACCCTTGGGCAAGAGCACCAACTCCCAGAGCACACTCAGGCCCCTCCAAGCCATCCGCCTGGGAGCGCCATGTCTGGGAATGACACACTTAGGAGTGTCACATAGCACACAAGGTCAGAAAGAGGACTGTCAGGCCTTTTCCCAGCAGCCGAGGGTGTGGCCAGACGCCCAGCATATCTGCAAGCTGCTAGCTGTGCCCAGTCACGAGATTGCTCGGTGGCAGCTGCCACATCTCCTAACACACCTCCCAGAAGTAGAGACGTGAGCTGTCTCCTGCGAGCTCCCGGGAGCTGCAGAGGCCACAGCGGACACGTGACCACAGGGATCAGCCAGTGCCAGGGCTGCCTGCCCCACGCCCGTGGTCACAGCACATTGACTGGTCTCAGGTGCCCAGGACCCACACAGAGGCTCTGGGACCTCCCTGGTCCCTGCTTTTCCCATAAATCCCTGAGAACTACATAAGGGAAGGTAACAAAAAGTTACAAGGTCTCAAAGCAAGCAGCACATACACCTATTGCATGTGTGCAGGCGTGCACAGGTGCAGTGAGACGAGACCTCACCGGGTCCCAGAGGGGTGGTCCACCCTTGCACCCCACCCTCACTCCATCCCGAGATGCCCAACAGGCAGATGCAACAGGAGGGCCAGAGGTGTGTAAACGCGCACACCCAGACCTGGCGGCTGCCAGGCCCTCTGCCCCTCCCTCTCTCTTTCCACACACCCCCCTGCCATGCCTTGCCACAGGCACGGATGAACTTATCTGTCGCACAGGGAGAGCTGCAAGCAACTGAAGACTGAGCCTGTGCACACCGGACAGAACCAGCACACAGCACTTCGGCACACAGCGTGCGGCCTGACGGGGCAGCAGAGCACGGGGCCGCTGAGAGGACCCGGGAGGCTCCTCCTGGCCCCTCACCCGGCCATCCCCAGCCCCCTGGTGGCACATGTGCCCCCACCACCACTGCCCCATTCCCCAGGCATCTGGCCCTTCAGCTAAGAGTGGGTGGTCCTGAAGCCAGACAAGGCTCTTGCTTCCTGAGAGAAGAATTCCTCGCATTTCTCCGCCTCTGTCCTCTCCCAACCCCGTGAGTTGAGGAGACCTCTGACTTACTCTCCCTGGGGCAGCGGGCCAGCCAAGGGCATGGAGGGAGGAATGGGGCAGGCACGCAAGGCCCAGCCCCACTGCAGCTCAGTCCCGATGACTCACGCCAGGATACTGGCCAAGATTCTGGCTGTCTGGAGCGACAGCAAAGGGAGCAGGTGTGCAGGTGCAGGGCTGAGACTGGAGGCACGAGGCCTGAAGGTCACGGTGCTGTCTCAGCAGCCGCCCCGGGCTGGCACTGCCCAAGAGGGCAGCCGCCAGCACCCAGGCCCAGATCACCTGTGGGGCAGCCAGGTGAGCCAAGACAGTGTGCGTACGCAGCAGCCTGCATGGCAATGACTTCGTGTGAAACAAGACAGCAAGCTATCCCACTAGTATATCGGCTACACATAAAACTGATCATATTTTAGGTCTCTGGGGCCAGATAAAACACACTCTTAAAATTTATTTCACCAGCCTCCTTTTGCTTTTTTTTTTTTTTCCAAAACAGACGAAGGTATTTCGTCCATATTCTTATCTTGACTTGTTTATTCAAACAACATTTTGCATATTTTGGATTAACTAAAAAAGACCACTGAAGTTCATTTTTTCCAAGTTCCTATTGTTTTGCAACACAGCTACTAGAAATGTTTATGTTTGTGTTTTTTTTTTTAACCCCCCAGAGAGGTCGAAGTCACAGAGGCGGCTCGCATTACATGCCTGCTGGACAGCACTGCTTTGCAGGGAGCGTGGCGTCCACTCACACCCTGGCTTCCACGTGCCCACGACTTGCGCTGGCACAGGGCAGGTGTGGGTGCCACATTCCTCCCGTCCTGCCCGCAGGGCAGCCCTGCCACCTGGGAGTGCTTGGCCGCTCGCCCTCTCCTCACCCTCTCCCCCGACCTCCGCTTCGGAGCAGTGGGCCGCCCCTGAGCCCAGAGTCCCTCCAGCCTCTCCCTCTGCTGACCTGGGCTTGCACAAACTGGGCCCTTCGGAGTCCAGCATTGTGCACCACGGCCTCCCCACAGCCGCCGCCCCTTGGTCTCTGCAAGTCTCTTCTGGCAGGGAACACGGCCCACCCCTGGGCCCGCAGCTTCCGAGGGGGAGGGGAGAACCCCGGGGGCCAGGGGAGAACCCCCGGAGGGCAGGGGAGCTGACTAAATGCTCCCAGAGGCCAAGGCTGGATGGCCATGTCTTGGGGGCCTTTTTTCCTGGGTGGAAGCTAAACAGGCTGCGTGAAAAGGAAGAGGTGCCTAATGCCATAGAAATGGGGGTCAAACACAAGAAGGTCCAGGAGTGTCAGACACCTGCCAGCAAGTCACAGAGTCACTCTGGACGGGGGATGATCGCATGTGGGGTACAGAGACGCAACCAGGAGAACTCCTCACTATGGGAGGCCAGGGACCACACCCCATGAACTCCTCACTATGGGAGGCCAGGGACCCACACCCCATGAACTCCTCACTATGGGAGGCCAGGG